TAAGTTTGCTACTCGATAAGAGATGGGAATCAGAAAGAAGTGGTATTGATGACGATTTTGAAGAAACAGAGTAGATTATTTTCTCATGCAAAGATGGAAATGGTTACGCAGAAAAAATTCAGTGTATTGAGTTTGTTTTGCCCAGTTTTGACTTATGCCAATATGCCAATAACGGATAAGGATAAAATAATCGCTCATCACCTATGATTTATGTCCTTTACTTTTCTATCTTCATGCAAATATTACAATCTATAAACTTGAACGGCACAGAAACAACATTTATAGCAGGATAATATGAGATATTTTATTTATTATTTCGAGGATTCTTCTCAACAGTTTACAGTTTTTATGAAGTTGACTGGAAGTTGATGATGGAATAAACCGGTAACATGGATAATGTAAATGATTGGTAGTCTCAGTTTCCACAAACAGTAAAGACATTTTTACAGTTAATTAGAGTCCATCTCAAAATTGAATTTGACTTGGTAGTGACTAGTCATACTATCGCCCAATTTATAAGTAATGAAGGCATGAATGGGCTTTCATGAATCAGGTAAACTGAGGACTGTTATATTTGCTTCAAAGTAAATGAATTTATATCTTGGGTGAACTAGGAAAATGAGTGTGTATCTTGAATTTTCTCGTTATAAAGTTTCAGATAAACTCATGATAATTTTGTTGGTTGTAGCCAGCAGAAGAATCCAGGACGCGCGTCTTGTCAATAAATGGTAATAACTATTTCGCGTTGTACAGGAAGTGGCTATCGTTCCTCCGTGATATAATGGATAACGCCTTAGCGTTTGAAGTGATGGGTACGAGGTTCGAGCCTCAGTGGGAACAAAATCACTTAGTGGGGTGCAGGTACATCCAGATGACGAGTCCCAAATAAGACGAAATGCGCGTCCTGGATTCTTCTGCTAGCCACAACCAACCAAATTATCAAAATTAACATTCAGGCAATATCGAGGCATCCGAATAGGAGCCCATATACCAAAAGAGGTCGAACAATTAGATCTAACAAAACAACGGAGAATAACAAGTATGTCAATAAATAGTAATAATTTTTTATAGTTTTGATAAAATTACATGAAAGCTGTCAAGTCAAAAGACTGTCACGAGGATCATAACTAACTAAATTCTTTTCCAAAGGCAAATGCATGAAGTACATGAAAGACTGAGTCATTTTAGCAGCCTGGTTTCAGTCAATTCCCAAAGTGTATGCTTCGTCTGCTGTTAGATGATCAGATTCAGTCGTTAGAAAGTCCTGAACCTAGCTTTCATGCTTTTGACACTCATCAGCTAAGCGTATCTGCAACCATGAGGAAACTGGTGTTTCCTTGGTGATTCGAACTTGCACCACTCAATACTGAAGCTAGAAATCTACCCATTAGGTTATTCAAATCACGACTAACCTATAGTAGTACTGGAGTGTAACCTTTCATTTTAGTCACTGAAAGCATTTTAATGGTAAGTTTCCCATACTGTGAATGTAACGTCATATTCTGTCAGTAATCTGTAACTTTTTGTGTAATCACTAGGAAAACAAATCTACATAAAAATGTAACGTATATGCTATGTGTAGTCATGAGAAGCCGAAGTGACATACAAGTACACCTATACCAAATTTCTATCACCTTCTACATTTACTGTCACAAAATCTACTTTCGTCATATTTTATCCTTTTCAGTTGCACGCTTTGCCATTATTCTTAAACATAATCAGAAAGTTATTGAAATAATGCTTTGAAAATACTACCTTAAGTTCGTAGTCTCTAGGAGATAACATTGCCGTTAATATTACCACGAGGTCTGTATACTTCACGAGCACTATGTTTTTGGAGAAAAACTTCATACCAAAAATTTGGTGAAAGCAAATGTGAAAGTTCATGTTTCTCTAATTCATATTTCAGAAGTAGTCTGTAGAACAGCATTATTAGACAACGACATACATTAGTATTGGAAAACAAGAGTTTTTGAAGAGATTCAAGAAGATGAGTGTAGTTTGTTTTCAGATAAGTGACCAGAAGCGGGACTAACATTTTTTTTCTGAAATATTTTATTTTCTCATGAACACACCCAGCAGTTTCAAGATATTACTTCAAAAACATTAAAGTTTATTCCATCTGAACTTTGTGAATAAGCTAGCTTGGGTAATGCATAACTATATCCTTGATTATTAGGATCGATAATATAGCTGGGTTCAGCTCTCAGTGATAAACCATCACCCACTTGGATGAGGATATATTCAGCTGAAGAGACCTGAGTGAGACGAGATATACATCCTTAATACTAGTGTCAGATACAGTCAATTAAATTACGTCATGAATGCAATAAAATTTGAAAATTAGTATGCGCTCACAGGAACACACTGTGATGTAGTATCCTAAATAGTAATATCTTGCATTTTGAAACTTCGCTTTCAGATAAATATCTCCTTCTCAGACTTCATGACATTAGTAAAGTTGTATTTGGTAATAATAATACAATTTGAATGGCTATGGGTTCCTATTATCTACCGTAGCAGAGATTATTACAGTATTGAAGTGACAAAAATTCATAGGCTAAAGATATGTGATGCTAATAATGAATCATAGAATGAATAGAAACTACATAGAAGAGAAAACGTCTTGGCCCTTTATATTATCTGCCAAAGTTGTATTACAAAGTGGTACCACACTAATCAATATTTAATATGAAGCGCAGAAAATATTGAACCAGAGTTATATGTGGCCATCTGCTAGATACTAATGGATATGCGGCTTTCTTGACCATAATTTTCAATTACAGCCGAGATGGAATTAAATAACCGAAACAACTAAGCCTTATCATAATGAATACCACATAAAGCCTTTTAAAACTAGTGATGTTGCATAGTTTCAGAGACATATATTTATTCTAGTTTTAAAAACTAGAACTCAATTCGTTTGTGTATACAAACTTGCAAGGAAACTGTTTGTATTTATGTTTGACATTCTTAAGACTGAGAAGCAAGTCATACTTTTGTTACCCTATTTGCTGTGCATATTCAGATAATTATAGTAGAAAATTTGATATTAGCATAGAGTAATGTGCAGACAGTTGTAAATCAGTAGCGTTTACAAATTTCGTGTGCAACAAATTCTCTTAAACACCTAGCGTGATTCTGAGTAGTACTTAAGGACATTTGTTACTGTATTGATTGTAAAAAGTAGCTGCAACCAAAAGTGTATGGATTTAGTTATAAAGCATCTTACGTCAAATTGGTCATGATCAAATGATTAGTGGTGGTCAGAACTCATATGGTTTGCGGGTATTTAGTCTATGATGGATATAGATAGCTTTTAGATCTATCGTCTACTTATATGTTATATTTTTAAGAGTTTTCTAATTGGTATGCTGTTAACAGTTGTAGCCGTTTGATACTACAATGAGTAAATTGATATGGAGAAAGATACTGTGAGTGGGTAGCATCCAGACAGTATCAGCATATGCTTGACTGAACCTTCTCCCCAAAAGCAGTAAGTGCATCCATATTCTTGCCTATGTATAAAATATAATAGTTTGCATTCATTTTTATTCATGTGGACGAATTAATGAGTTAGTCACCATTTTGACTGAAGACTGTTTGTATGAAATGTTTTCTAACTTCTCAAGAAAAACTGTGACGTAATTCCTACAAGTAATCAGTGTGTCAGAAGTGTGAAAATGGTTCCAAAATTTCCATTTCCCCATCCTAGTTACTCGACTTAAACAGTGGAAATGATCTTCAAAAGTACTGCATGCTATTAAGCTCACTATATATAATAACTCATTCAAATACGGAAATAATTTGAGCCGGTAAACTATCTCAACAATTGTATTGCGACAAAAGTCAAAGCTTGAATTAGGAATCATGATTATGTTAGATGCAAGTGACACTGCGCTTTCTCTTTCAAACACTGATCATTTTTCATGTTCATTTCCTGCCTACTAAAAAAACAAGAAGTTAGCAGAAGACTGTAATATGCAAGAGTGTATATTTTGCTTCATCACTACGGTTTCCTAAACTTAGCTTAATTTTCATTAGGTTTCAGACAGAAAGCCCAATCTTCTTAATCTCAGACCACTAATAATCAATATTTTGAAATCTTAGCGTGGTTAGATCTTTCAAATTTATAAATTAAATATTTTCTCCAGCATATATATATATATATGTCAGAAGCAGAAATCAAATTAATTTATATCTGTTCATTTATAAAAAGACAACCATCAGTGATAAATGAGAAGTATTGTGTACAGCAATGAAAGATATAGTCACAATAATATGTTTATAACTGAATAGAATTAGAAGATGGAAATAAGTAAAAGCTTTACCTTAAAAGGAATTATCCATTTTGGTGGTGATGGTGATAACACCAATAAACTGAAATGAACTTTATCACTATGTGATTGACGATTATTAGGAATAGAAGAATGTAAGCGAAAAGAAATAAAGTCCAAATAACATTTTACCTACCCACTTCTCTACTTTCTTTGATAATTTATATAGAGGAAAGAAAAGGAGTTGAGGGGTGATTTATTCCTAGATGCAAATTAAAAATGGTTTTGTAGTTTTTGGAAATGACAACTGCATAAAATTTTGCCTAAATTCATGTTTATATTAGAAAGTAATACAAGTTAATGCATTTTCAAATGTGTTTTCTTCAGGTTCCTCAGTGATTTAATGTCTGTCACCAGATTTGTGAGCCTAACCAGTTTCGTTGCTTTCCATTAGTCACACTGTTCAACTTTTTGAAAGTGAGATATTTCGTATACGAATGCGTCTGTATACCAACATGTGCATACATGTCCAAGTTTAAGCCTAACGAAAAGTCCATAAATTTCAAGATGAAACTGATCACCTCAGTAATTAACTGTGAATATGTTGATTAGAAAGCTGAAATAATGACAAGCAAAAATCATATATAAGGATATATATATATATATATATATATTCGCATATAAAACTTCATTTTTGTTTGCATTTTCTAGTGTTTCAGTAATTTATGGTTGAAGAGAGCGGTACATATTGTTGGAAAGGTCATCATCGACTGCAGATAATTTGTTTGAATCATAAATAAAACAACGGTTTTTAGCATTAATGGAAGATCTCAAATGAATTTCAGAATTATTCATGTCATTGGAAACTTTTATTTGCTGTATTACACAACTATTTCTAGAAACGGGGTCGGAATTGTTTACAGATAAATTGATAGAATTATTGTTTATCTGTGAAGTTATGCTTCTAGTAAGTGAAGGACTAACAGTATTTTGAACTGGATAGTCTAATTTTGTTGTGGATATATTACTGCTTCTGGGATTCAACATGTTTACTATCGGCAATGTTGCAGCTGAATAATCTTCATCTGAAATAATTTTATTCACGGTCATACATATATCAGGTTTTGTCTCAATATGTCTTGACTGACTCAGAAGTTCCTTGGTTTGTAGGTTTTCTTCAGAATCTGAATCACCGTCATTTATTTCATCCTCTGAATCATATGGATACTGAACTATAGGTATGACACCGTACTTTAAATGAACTGGGGACCTTGTGTTCATCAAGTAGTTAGGTAATAAGTCATCACCAGAACTAAACAATGGTGGTGCTAATCGGCATTTTCTTTTACAGTTAACCTGTCCACTTGAATGCATTGAGGACTCTTTAGTATTTGAGTGAACCAAGCTTGGAGATTTTGATGTGGGTTGAAGGATGTTTCTTGTTGAGCTGTAGTGCATTCATTAAACTTAGCGTGAACATTGTGAATGAGTCTACCATCAAGATATCGACATTTTCTGGTATTTATGTCTGCCCTGTCTGCTAAATAAGGATTTTGACTTCTCATACCATTAGTTTGGTCATCTGACCTATGAATACAAATTTGTGGAGTCACTTGATTACCATTATTTAAGCAAGCACTATAGTTTCCATAAAAAAGGTTGTTAGTGTGATTAAACTGAGGTGAATTACACTGATTATGATGCTTTGATGAAGAGTTTAAAAATCCGTTACTTGAAAATGCAGTTGATGTTGGCCATACGGTTTCCATTTTGCCAATGATATCGGTACAATTTGCTGGGAATGAATTTTCTGTACTTGGCATCCTACTGCTTGAATTTGGACTAGCTTTAATTGAATGATTTGCATTATTATTATTATTATTATTATTATTATTATTATTATTATTATTATTATTATTATTATTATTATTATCGTCACCATATGAAATATTTTGATAATGAAAAATTTGTGACAGTTCTTTTTGTTCATTTTCGCATTCAAGACAGCACTGAGGAGAATGACTAGTTGAAAAATTTGTTTGCTGAAATGACTGTAGATTTGAAATAAAATTCTTCCCATTCATCCAATCAGGCACACACTTTTTGACTGAGTGAGGTTTATGCGAAAGTTTTATCTGCATATCTGACTGGCAAACATTTTCATGAGAATCTTCAGTCGTTTCATTATAGGGAGCATGGCGATCACAATAAGCTGGATTGTGTAATATTTGAGATATGTTATTAGATTTCAGCTTCTTTTTGAAAAGTTGCTTTCGATGGCATAAAATGGCAACTGCAAATATGCAACTGACAAAAATACATAATACTGCAGGTAACAAAGCGGAAAGATAAAAATGAGATGACTTTGTTTTTGGAGAAATCGATAATTCGTTAAGTACACTGAGTATTTCATCGTTTATTGTCGATGTTGAACCTTAAACAAAAAAGGAAGAGACAAAGAAATGTCTTTTTTACCGAAGTAAATAATAAGTGGTTTGTTCTAATTTACTGCGTAAAGTAAGGCAATATAGGTAATCTTCCACCGACACGTAAAATGTCGCAGATGTATCTACGTGCGTTTATATATAGATCAAATATATATAGAAAATATCCATTTTGCCTTTAGTTTTTTTTGTGTATGCTGAAATGTGAGGGCTGATTTCATCACTTTTCTTCTTCTCTTCTTTCATCAGACTCGTCTTTATGTGCTTCTTCATATTGCAGTGGTATTGACTGGTACTCACAAGTGTCAGGTTTATATAGCGTATTTTTCAGTTTGTATATTGGTGCCAAGAGATGAAAGTTTGCCTACCACTTAGATACACACATAGCGGTTATATAAATACTACTATATCTGAATAAAAATTGACAATGTGAAAAACTGGTTAATGTTTGTAAATGCGCATTTTCTAGAAAGGATGCAAATGTATTGTAATTTCTGGAATGGACTTGTGGATGGTTCCAACATGGATTTTTTAAAGTATTTTCTATTGATCAAGAGAGTATTAAAACTTCTTAGAAATCTATTTATCAATAGGTGTCAGAGAGTGAATCCATTGTATGAAGTGTTGATTCAATATTTACTGGTACTGGATCAATTCCTTGGTCCCTTCATTTAGTTCTTGCGTTTTAAAATGTGACCATCTGGATTCAATCAATGAATCAGAGAATTCAAGTGAATGTCAGCTGCTTGCACAGCTAGAATTTCAGTTATGTAACATTCATTGAAAAACCATTGCTTCTGGTTCTTATATTTCCTTGACCTTAATAGTCCGCGCCGAAGACCTAATTTATGTTGTTTTTTATGATGTTCAGCTATGTATGCTATGGTATGCGATCGAATATGAAGTAAGACATCAGAATCCACTGCTTTTTGGAATGTTATGCAAGATACGTTTGAAAATACTTCAAAGCAGTGGCTATTATTTTTCTAAGGAGTTTAGTCAGTTGTATATGATAAGAAAGGTGTGCTTACTTTCGTTAGGCAACGTAACATAGTTGCACTGAACTATGATATCACGCATTCACCATTTTCTTATTTGAGAAAAAGAAGAGTGAGTGTAACGTCATACACCATGTCATATTGAGGGATAAAACCTTTCATTCTCATCTTAAAACAAAGGAATATTTGTAGGATAAATGCATGATTTTCATATTGTTTCAGCTTCATAAGGTTTTCTTCCTTCCCAGGGGTGTGAAGTCTAGTCGTCATCCGGAAAAATTTAAAATCTGACTAGGAAAGTAAAATGGTGTGTAACATGATTTATTTATCCACTTTTTCACACTGAACATTCAGGAAACACCACAGAGGAACACTAGTCACTCTACAGTCAGAAAAACCTATCGAATTAAGGAAAGTAAATTCAGGATGCATAAATGATAAACAGGTTGGTTTCGCTTGTCATGTGAAGCTTTAAACGACGTATTTCTGTAATCCAAAGGATCCAGTATTAAAATTTGCATCATTTCTTACGTAACAACCATAACCAACCAATGATATGGCAGAGCTTACTAACCAGTGTCAAGTTTTGGAAACTCCTAACTTATTCTAAACAGTCTTTGAGACAGCCAGTGGGAAAGCATGCATGCTTCATACTCATATTATCAATAGGATCTAGTGATGTACTCTTGTTCGTATTGGTTGCAAATGACAGAATACAAAGCCAATCTTGCAATGTGTAAATGCATAGTGTACTCCGATGGACTCAGAATGCGCACTTAAAAATCGTGAGTGGAAAGAATTTTACTGCGAGTGAATATTTGTTGAAATACGCAAGTAGGTTTCAGAATAAGTATGTTTTAAATATATTTTCAGGGTGCTGGAAGCATAGATATTGGCATGATCTGTTTTTTTATCCGACAGTGTTGCATCATATCAATTTCCGCAATATAACGAAGATTTTTATGTGAAGTTTTGATTCTTTTTCCTAAACGTTGGATAGAGTAACAACATTTTTTTATTTTACATAAACTTACTCTTTGCTTTGTGTTTTAAGGAGTTTGTTTGTGGATTGGTATTGTCCATCTGACCAGAATGAATACTAAGGTCATCACTGAAAAACACAGGATCCATGTCATTCATCCTTTGATTGCTGCTGGAATTTCCGCCTGACTTGTGGGGTCTTTTTTTCGTCTTAGAAGTATATTTTCCTCGATGCCTGTCTAACTTCTTTGAATCTATAGGTTGGTGAGTTGTCTCCAGCAGTACATTATGTACTTCAAATTAAATAAATCCAAAAAAGGAAATTACTGGCTGAATGATTACCATTTAAATCCTAATATTCAGCACTAAAGGAAGCATTCTTATATTGTAGATATTTGCAAAGCTTCCCTTAATCTTGTCTTTGTATTTTTACTGGAGAAATATCAGTATAAAATGAAAATTATTATTCATCGTAAGTATGGAAGTTAGATCCGAACTAGTTCTGATCACCATTAGTCATATATACATAAATTTTACTTGTTGATTTCGACCTTGGCATACTATCAAGGTTGAAAGTGTCCTTCTTGGATAAACTGTCAAATAACATACCATACCCCATGGCATGCCTAATTCATTTGAACAAAACTGCCTGGTTGATTAGGTAGTAAGAAGTAAATTTTTTAGAAAACATCACGCACTATGTCATTTCAGTGATCAGATTTACTCGAGTGAATGCTTTCAGAGCGAATCACTAAAATTCACCAAAAGATACATTTTTAAAGAATCTACCTTAGGCCTTGAATTCATTTCTCACTGACGTCAGTAAAGGTTCATTTGTGTTATACTTCTGAAGGCTTAGACCGATTGGCCAACGTAAAATGATATCCAGAAGTCATTTGAATAGCTTCTAGTTAAGAAACATTTTTATCTTTGAAAAATTGTAGACAGATAACGTATGGGCACCTCAAAAATATCGCAAACCATGCAATGTCATCTAAGTGTGTCTTAATATTTTTGTTTGTGGTAATAAAGAACACCTTGTTTTGTGTCACAGTCTTAAGTAGTTGCATCATACTTATTTTCCATTCATCAGAATACTTCTGACCTGTAAAATAGCTCCAGATGCTTAGACCAACATCTGTTATCGCTGCCTAAATTTAGTTAAGTGAATTACCACATTAGTTCTTCAACATACTGGTAAGACAAAGATGTAAGAATCTCTGTGTAATTTAATTGTAACAGTTATTATATTCATCTTTGTGCCAGTCCGTGACAATAGGATAATTATTCGCTTGGCATTGGACATAGGTATATATTACTTTTTACTGGATGACGTTTTGAGAACAAATAATTACTCGCATCCACATATTGATATTATGGCAAATAATTTGTGCAAAGAATGCCATCTAGTAAGTAATGTTGTACCGATGTATGCTATATTAAATAAATATACCTAATGTGAAATTCCTTTATACCTCACTTACCAAGTTTTACCTTTATAATATTGGTTGTATACAACTTCGCATGAGTAGTATATTTCTCTTGTCTAGCTAGAATCTTAGCACTTTTTCAAGTCTTTTCGTGCAGTTTGATTTATACTCTCCGAAAGATCCAATTCTATCATAGGTTATTGCATACAGAGAACCAGTAAACCCAACTCATTATTTGTTAGGGGTATACAGTAAAGTCGACGGCTGGTTATCTGAATTTGATTATTAGTTTGCCGTATACACGCGCCTAACCTTCCAGATATTATGCGTTTGATATGCATACCTAACAGTTTGACGTAAAATTAAGTCTTAAGTATCACTTGCAGACGGGGGAGGGAAGGTTAGATGATTTTGTTTTTGACATTTTATCCCCATTAATTTTTTGAAGGTACTATGGCACTCACAAATTTGAATACTAAAACAGCTCTCACTTTCTGATGTCTCCTACAAGAGGAGAAGTTTATCTATTTAAACTACTCTTAGCACAAGTGCTTCTTAGCTTATTATGTTAAAAACCAAACTTCCGAAGCAGTTTAACAATCATATCTTTCATGACCTAGTTGGTCTAAATAAGTAGATGTAGGAACATGTGATCTCTCGATTGCGTGCTCATTTTTGTGACAAAAGCAAGTAATAAAAATATTAAATCTATTCTGTTGCATTTAGTCATTTTTAAGACAACCATATATGCCTTATAAGTCACATAATCCACAAAAATTCCCTAAACAGCAAATCCAAGTTTGAGTGTTGTGTTGGCATGTACACTGTTGTGATCAAATGATAAGAATTACACTTAGTTCTTCTTTATCCTAATTTGGTAGCTTTAATTAACTAAGCAATATATCAGTGAGTCTCAACAATATATATATATATGGTCAATAAAAGTTACTGAGGTAGCAAAAGAAAGACTGCATCTCGTTGTTGTGGAGGGTCAGTCAGTCAATTCAACCATCAGTAAATATATGAACTATATTAGTTAACATGGAAATAAACTGTAAAGACTAAAGTAGAAGATGTATATAATCATGAGGCTACAGATTATTGTTTTTTCTATGGCAATTATTTTCTGTACACAAATTTACCAATGAAGGATTGTGCCAGACTTTAATAAGGCTAATATAGAGACAATTTTGTCAGTAATGGATTGCTTATACCATTTAGTTGAGAAAGCTTACTAAGTCTTATCATCACTTTTCAAGCTATTGCAATCACAAATAAAACCAAGGAACAAAGGAAGATGTTTGAACTAATATCTAAATATTTAAAATATTTGAAATGCACTTCAACTTACCACATGTGTATCTCAAATAAAGATGTGATTTTGAACATGTTCTTTCAGGTGAGTCAGACTTTTTTGGCTTCTTTTGGTACAGTGATTCAAGCACAGTATTTGGACTGACAGTACAAGCTAATTGTCCATTGCATTTGTTTGAAACGATTGGCATACTGTCGACTGAAGGACAAGAGGCAGCTGTTAGGAAGTAAAAACGAAAGTGCGCACAAAAATTGATACATGTTAGTTGCTTACAGACTTGATTAGGTTGTCTATTTGCGAATAATATTTTTATCGTCATTTGTATCGAACTTCATATTTCGAACGGAAGTGAACAATACTTCCCGATGCCTTTATAATACAGATACAACCACAATAACGTGGGTCACTTCAGTTTAGGTAAGTAGTAACTTTTGAAGAGAACAATGACATCTCGTCGCCCTCTCGCACCTTTTTAGATTACAACGTTGACAAAGTAGAAGTGGATTACGTTATAAGTTATTCATCTCCAACGAACACCTTTAAAAGACATCTAAAATGATTAAATGAGGTAAATAGGAGTTAAAAAAGTGGAAAGTTATCACCATGATCATTTAAGACTAATCAATTGTAATTCAAGCACTGGTAATTAAAACTTATGCGCCTATGCAAATTGCCATCTGTTTCCCGCTGGCAAAAGTCTGAGGTTTTCATAATATTGGAAAGTATATGGAAATAGATCACACTATAACTAACCAGTAGCTGGTAAAATGTAGTCACAAGTACACTAAACTGTATATTCAGTGTACGGATATATGAAACTATATCAAACTGGTACTGTATTTTGTGAACAACATAACTATAGTGTGTAGAATGGTATCTGACGCTAGTTTTTCAGTAATTTAACCTATATTGCATCTATAGTCGGTAAGACAGAGTTCTTTTTTGGTTATGATCTTCCCATCAATTGTTTACATCGTACTATTTAAAAATTTAGAAACAAATTAAATGGTTAACTATTTAGTGACATGATATAACGGATTTGAAAAGCATTTAGTTACATTAGAATACGTTGTCACAAGGTAACCTAGTTGATCAGAGTTAAGAAATCTCAAGACCGGGAGTTATGTCTAACACAGCTGAAAATTAGGGCCACAATAAACTAAGTTGTTTAGAGAATATCGGATAAATACTTTTTGAATATACTTTTGTTCGAAAGTTTCTAATTGAAAAGAAATATTGTACCTCATATTTTTCCCCTTTGTTTTAATACCAATAATATGTTTGATTTATTCCAAACCATAATTATGTTCACAGTGCAGAATTCTCAGCACATGATATTACATCAGTCTACTTGTTGTACACTTTTCAAATCCATATTAAAAAGGATACTGCTTAACAATATACAATGAAGAATAACAGGATTATCAGGACATTTGCCTTAATTTCCTGATTAGCTTGTGGTAAGAAGCTAATGTTTTATGAAAGATAGTTCCTCTTATCGTAGTTTTGACATAGGAAATTAAAGTTTTTTGTTTACACGCTGATTTTAAACTAGAAACAAAATATTCGTTTATTGTCAAACATTGTATGGTTAAATGGGAACTTTCTTATTCACACAGTTTGTGCAAAATTATATTTATTTCTTTGTTGTAAAGTTTTGAACGAACTTGAGAAAAATATCAGAACTTGAATTCAAGCATATTTTTGAAGCGAGATGTATGTATAACTTGATCTATTGGAAATGTCGTGAGAAAGTCTTAATAATCATTATTAATTGTGTGACAGAATTGTTGATTTATTTACAAAATTGAGATTTTGGGAAGGATATGCTATGTATCGATGAGCTACAATGGCATTACTTCAGTTCAAACTGAAGGACAAATAAACAAAGTAGCTAATATAAACATTAAATTGGAATTGTTTTAAAATAATAAATGAACATTTTATCGGAAATCCAGATTGTGATCGGTCATTATAATCTCTTTTACTTGTAACTACTGAAAATATCTTACGTAAACATTATCCATCAATCTATCGATGCACATTAGTTAACTCATAGAAAATATCGTTTAACTTACCCTGGAAATGAGCAACAAATTAGTAAGTGTTTTATTGTTTTACCTTTACGCCTCACGTGACAGTTTATAGTTGTATGTGATATAAGATTTTTTACTTCGGGTAAATTTCTTATTCTTGGTTATTGTTTTATTTGTCTTATGAAATTAATGATTAAAATACATAAATAGTAAAGCAAAATTCACGATACATGGGAAACATACATAGTGACTTTCAGAAAACTAACAGTAGGGGGTTTTGTGAACTGAATTTAAAACAAGGAGAAGTATAAAGTTAACTTCTGTCTTTGAAAGCATCACATTCATAAATAAGTGGTATTTGAAATGACGGGAAGCACATCCTTATTATGATTAATTGGTTGAAATGTATTTTCTCTTTTCCTATCTTTTCGAATGACGGTTTAAACATTTTTCTATAAAACTTACTTTACTTTTGAGTCGATGTAGGAACAAATGTTTAATAATCACTCAGAATTATTGTTAAATTGTGACCAGATTTTTATCGATTTCGTGTTGTAAACCACAGTCTTGACGACATCCCATGGCGACGGAATAAGAGAAGAACCACTAAGAACCTAAGTGGTCGATTGTTTTATTATCATTTATGCTTAGTAAGTCGTTCTGATATCACGCTGGTGAAAGCATTTTATGCCCAGAATATAAACCACTAAAATATATTCGTCGTTGTCCATTTGATCAAGATAACCAATTAAGCATCCCAAGTTTCATCAATGAGTAGCGCACTTATGGTTTCATTTCTATTAATCACCAGAGGAATAAGTTTGTGAGCCAATATTTTCAAAGTAATGATAGAAATGAATATGCACACCTAAACAAATTCAAACATGGAATGCTAATAGCTTACAGTTTCATTCCGTTCAAAATTTTTAGCTTTCAATTAACATTTCTGAGAATTTCGGCAAATAATGAATCGAATCCATAATTACAGATTACAGCGAATGTGAACTACTGGGTTTCATTCCAGTGACTCATTTGCAACCTGAAGGTTCAGGGCAGAATCTCTGACAAGGTTATGGGTGGCACTGTGCAGGAGTCTCGTAATGTGACGCAACAGCTGTCCAGTGTTTCAGGGCTTTTTCGATGGCTTTCCAAATGATATCAGTTCGTGACGAATACTGCCTTGAAATCAATCAGTCCTCAAAAGCTTGAAAATTGGATTACAGAATACTTGATTCATTCAACTTCATTAATTGGATGTTGAATGTCGGTGGGTGTCATAGGCTTATTTCATATCTAGCCATCACACCGCTCTTCACAAATGTCTTTTTGACAGAAACCCTCTGCTTTTTATGCGATTACGCTAAGATCGACATCCTTAAAAGTAAAATTCCAAAACATTTTATATAGAAAAATTCCTCTAAGGATGTAACACTAATGAATAATTTCGACATAATAGAGAAATTTATCGACAACTGATGAAGAAGTTTTGGGTCCACCGTTTGGTCCTTTCTTAGCCGTTTGCATCATAATGTCTGGATAACGCTTGGCTTCGTCCATTAATTGACTAGTTTCATCTGTGTAACAGAAACATGGATAACAATTTCCTTAACTATGGGGGGAATAATAACTGTGAAAATATGCTGCAGAAATTCAATGAATATCATAAGTCAGGTAAACGTAATATGGGAACTGAAAATGATTCAAAATTTCAGTTCCTGGACGTTTCACTGGGAAGAAGACATGATGGTTCCTTAGAAAGATGCGTTCAAAGGGAGACGCTTGAAGTTGGCATTATACCAGTTTTAGAAGTTGGGTTCCAATAGGAAGAGAGCAGAAGTTAGGTCACCGAGTGTATACAAGAATCCGAAACTTTGGAACAGGTGATGAAATAAATGAGAGGCTTGGAATACTCTTAACAGTGCTCACCGATGAAAGTTTATCCTTCAGGATCTATGGAGCTGAGTATGTAGGCTAAACAGCACTAGAACCAAACCCCCTGCGGTTTTAACAAAGACAGCTTATAAATATTAGGCTCAAGGGAGCTACACTGACAAAGGTACTCGAAAATCTTATTTGTAAAGTACTGGGAAGGACCATTTTTTTCTATTCAATCCCGGATTGTTTACCCAGTAAACAAATGATTTGAAAATGTGTAAGGGACAGACTACCTCTATGAACCACTTCCATGTGTGCCAACCAATTAACTAAGTAGTAGAACCAAACTTTCTGAAGAGAGTACACATTCCACCCGAAAATGGTAAAAGCCTATTCAGTTCATTGTTCCAAACCTAATTATTAGGTTTAAAAGAAGTACGTCAAATCTGCAGTTCTACTTTTTATAAAATCTAGTAACTTTCATTCTACCTTTCAAATTAACGATTTTCATCCCCTTTTCCCTACCTCATAAATGATAATTTCACTATGACTGTCCCACTTTTTTTACTTGTTCTATTACTTCATAGACTACTATAAAATCGCCTTGAAATTTCTGCAAGATGGCTTTAGCGATTTGTAATACAGAACTTGCGTTCAATTCTCAACCATTACTTTGTATTGTAAGACAATGTTTTAAATATCCTGTATTGGCCTCGTGTTCATAATTATCCTACAACTCTACAAATAAAGATTTTTTATTAGCAGCTGATGGACACATATTCTCGTTGTATATATGAATATGAGTGTACGGCTTTAGAGACTGATTTGTTGAACGATAACTTTCGCTGAATTGTAGTTTCTTCATTTTTCATGACTTAATAAGACTGTTTCGCTGAATAAACACTTCATGTTCATTGTAAATAGTTTGTTACACAAAAGTCTTTTCATGTATCATTAAACCTGTTGTTCTATCCAAATAATTATGCTCAAGCTACAAGAAATGTTTTTCATGAAATAGTTTGTTCAATGAATGTTTGACGACTCACTTGCATACAGTATCATTCTGTGGAGTGATACTTATTCAGTTCATAACTAAATACTGGCATCTTAGTATTCAGAAGTGCATTTATTTCTTCTAGGGAGAAGAGAAAGCAAATAACTCTGGCAAATAATTTTTAGTCAGATTCTATGCTCTTTCAGTTCTAATCAACGTTTTGTTCAACTGGAAATACCATGTAGTTTCTGTTATGATTCATTTATAAGCATTGAAATTCGTCTTCTTAGATGTAATTGTGAATACTTGAG